GTTTCGGAACGGCTTTGCTTATCACAGTTCTGACAGGACGGACATCCCTGACTCAAAACAGCTCAAAGCGACACGGAGACCTGCTTGTTCAACAAAGATGTGGGTCAAAGGAGCGTGAAACAAAATTCCACCTCCTCTATCCCAATTCACAGACCTGCGAGAAGGGTTTTATATGTGCGGGGAAAAAAACTTAAGTGAGTGTACCCTCCGGCTGAGCATTATTTTTATGATAAACAACTGCTTTCTCCTGTTGCCAAACACTTGGTGTTGAGCTGTGGTTAAACAAGCACAAACCGCAGGCTCTCAGAGGATGAAATAAATAAACCATTCTATTGCTGGAAAGAATGAAAATACTGGAGACTACGAGACTACAAGCTGATTTATGCACTTGAGACACTGCAGGTGAATAGGGTGAAAAAATAACTCATCACAACATTAACCTAGTTGAATGATTACATTAAGAATTGCAAAATGTTATTATATTACAATTGTTCTAAGATGTTATGTCTGAATATGAAAATGTGACACTTTTTAATTAAATATGTGCCAATTTGCAGTTTCATTTAACAAAATTCAGATTATTCATAGAAAAGAGGTTCAAAAAGAGGTAAAAGCAAATTAAATATGGTAAAACATGAAAGGAAAGTATGTAGAAACAAAAATCGAATGTCTAGAGTTTTTAATAAGGCACAAAGTAATCTTTTCAAATGTAATTTTAAACAAGATAGGGATGGAACAAAGTGGAATGTGTAAGGTACAGTTTGTCAAAAAGAAGAACATTTTTACACATGTCTAATATTGTCAAGAATTGGAAAGTTATTTTTTTTTAAAGATTGTAAAAATGTAAGTAAAGGATTAATTGGAGAATGGGATGAAAATGAAACAGAGTGGATCAGAGTAGTGATGTTGGGATGGAATAAGAAAAAAAAGAAAAAGAAAATTGCTAACCTATGTATAATACAGATGAAAAAAATGCAATGTGGGAAAGGAGAATTGTGGTAAAAAAGAGAAAATGGTGATAGAGGTATGAGGAATTTTCAGGATGGAAATGGAAGGATATGTTGAAAAACGGTGTGTACAGTATATTATAAAAATGAGAACATGTGGGGAGAGCTGCACAGGATTTTAACAGACAAAGCATGTAAAGTTTTTAAAGGAATGAATAGGAAATTGCCACAGATTTAATGTTTTGTTTTAAAAAAATTTTATTTTTTTATTGTGTGTTGTAATATGCTTTAACATATACATTTGTATATAATTTTTTTTCGATAAAAAAAGAGGTTCAATTGCAGGTTTGATTCATTTTTCTTCACATAATTCTTGGTTTAAAAACTTCAGAGTACAGATATTAATAAACCTGTGAGATATCTTGTATGTATTGTAAATTCTGCTAATGTGGAGATTTATGGCCTATTGCAGGAGAAAAAAACAACTCATTTTGATAATATTCATTCATTCATTTATTTTATTTTCGGCTTAGTCCCTTTATCCGGGGTCGCCACAGCGGAATGAACCGCCAACTTATCCAGCACGTTTTTTTGCAGTGGATGCCCTTCCAGCTGCAACCCATCTCTGGGAAACATCCACCACACTCATTTACACACACACACTCATACACTAAGAACAATTTAGCCTACCCAATTCACTGGTACCGCATGTCTTTGGATTTTGGGGGAAACCGGAGCACCCAGAGGGTGCCTACGCAAATGCAGGGAGAACATGCAAACTTCACACAGAAACGCCAACTGACCCAGCCGAGGCTTGAGCCAGCGACCTTCTTGCTGTGGGTTGACAAAACTACCTACTGCGCCACTGCGTCACCCATTTTGATAATATATGTATTGTAATTGAAATTTACTGACACTAATTTATTGCAACACAGGAAACACATCTTTACAGTATATTAGACTGACAAATAAATTGTTATGTCCCTGTGTTGTTTGGTGATCATGATTTCGCCAGTCTCTCTCTCTCTCTTCTCCCACTTTCATTTCTAGTTGGTTCCTATTGGCTCACACTGCCCAGCTGTTTGCCATGTCCCCTTTGACGTCATGTTATTGTCTCCAATCCAGCTGCTGCCACAGTGGCATAAAAGTAGTACAGGATGCTACTCACGAGGCCCGGGACACTTTGAATTTCTGTGTTGTGTGTTCCATTGTGTTACATTTTAATATATGCCTTTTGTTGTCTGTTTTCCATTTGTCTACCATCAGTTTTACGCTCATCTGAGGTTGGAGAGTGAAACTGGGAGAATGTTGTGCAACATACATTGTGCACATGTAGGCTTTGAATATCACTTTTGTCAGACACACTTGATAACAGCTGAGCTCCACCCGCTGTACTTTTGTTTTTCTGCTATCATAGAGTAGCTAAGGTAGTAATTAGGTTTTCTTTTAATGTTTTTCTTTTTGGATAGTTAGGGAAGAAGTTGGGCCAATGGAATAGGTTTTAGTTAATTTATTTCTATTGTTTGGATGCCACCTGCATCTCATCTCTCCAATTCTCCCCTCTACCCGTATAAACATTTTGTGTCCCATTTGTTGTCTGTGATTTTCAACATGTTTAAAAAATATTTATTGTTCAATATATCTACATATTTTGCACTTATCACTATCTTTTGTAAATAAAACTTACTTCATTGCAATTAGTTATTTGTGGTATTTTGTTTTCAAAAGGAAAAATTAAGTGTGTTTTCCACCCATACAGCATGTATGTTTCATCCATTTCTGAGCTAAGCTGTAGAAAAAGTCTATTTCTTGTCCAAGAAACACTTATTAAAAAAATCTGTTGGCATGGTTTTAGCCATATGGCTATTGATTTGGACTCATTTATGTGCTTATTTTTTTTATCTTGAAAGGCAGTCACAATTGACTAACATTAAAAGAATTGGGTTTAATCAAAATTCTTCTTTAAATGTTCTACTGAAGAAAGAAAGGCACCTACTACTTAGATGACCTGTGGGGGAATGAATTAACAGATCTTTTTTATTTTTGGGTGAACTATCCCTTTAAAAACTAGCACTAATGATCGGCTTTTTAGCCATGGTTCACACTGCATTTAAACACCGTAAAACAGTGCAAACAGCTTATTTAATTAAGTGTTACTTGGACAAGAAATAGACTTTTTCCACAGATTAGCTTCGAGACGGCTGAAAGCATACATACTGTTCATCATTTAAGACTTCTGTTAATTAAATTCATATCACAAGAACATCAAACAGTCAGATAAAACAGCTCAGTTATTTAAAAAGAATCTTGCTGAGGTCTGACAAAATGCATCAGTGTAGGTCCTTTTATCATGCTCATAAATTTCTGGAGGAACTTAAGCGGATTCCTGCAGAACAGTTGTTTTTTGTGTTCAACCAATTGACAGAAAAAACAATCACTTAGACTCAGCTGACCCATAATAAGATATAATTTGCATAATGCACAATGCACATTAATAAATCCATCCTCGGTAGAACAATATATGTAATTATAGAGGCAAATTAGCAGAGCTGGGTTCTCTGTTTTAACCTTTCAACACACCAAAAACAGAATACATTCAAAAGTAAATAACATCTATCCAAATAAATATACAGTCTACTGTTCAAAACCTCATCCATCATCCATCCATCGTCTATATTTTATATGAGTTTAAAAGTGAGAGGAAATACACTTAATGCAAAGACTTTAATTTAAAGCTTTCATTTTATACTGCATTGCTTCAATAAGTTGAATTGTTCTCTGATATCTACATTGCAGGTATATGGCTTATAGCTTACCTTATGGCTATAGGCAAGTTAATTTTTTTTAATGCTTATTTATTACTCCTTGAAATACCCCTATAATCAAAAGGTCCATAATTGACCATATTTGGATTGGTCGTGAATATATGTGTAGCTCTCACACACAGCATGATAAAGAACACGAATAATATAATCATACTTGATTTGTCAAAAAACTTTTTAATAAACAAAGTAGATGACTAGTTACTTTTTTTTAATGGGAAGAGGTTTGTTTTACCTAGATGGAGCGAGTCAGCTCTCTAATATAAATCCATTACAGTAACATTAAACTTTTTACTCACAACATCTGTTGTGGATAAAGGCTAAATTAAATTATAGATGTGCGTTGTTATTTTTAAGCTATAATGTTAAAGAAGATGCAGTCAGTGTCTCCCAATGTCCCTAAAATGTAAAAAAAATTAAATAAAAGTAACTTCAAATTACACTTATATATAACTAGGGGAGGAAAACTATAATTACTGACTCACTAGAACAACATTTGGCTGTTCAAACACAACCTGGGGCATGCATATGAATGATCCCAATGCAAAGTCTGCATTTTGGCTAGTGGTCTGATGATGCGGCTGCTTGTCAGGTCCGGAATCATGTAAAACCTGACCTGACCTGAGGGCATGCCCCAAGAGTCACGCAACAGTCTGCTTTGTGCTCTTATTGGCCTTTTGTCTGCTGGGTTTTACATTCAGAATTTACACAAGAATGAGGAAACATGGGTGTCTAAGGTTGACAGTATAACCATTTCCATATACTGATCTTGTATTATTTGTTTGTGCCTAGGTTTACCAAGATTTAGTTTAGGATAAAATACATTATTTATATACGTCTATTATAGACCTAGTATGTGTATATAATCCTGAAAGAACAAACAAACAAACAAACAAAAACTGAAACATGGCTTTCACAAATATATTACGCTGCACAACTGGTTTCAACATGATAATAGAAAATGAGTGTGCAACACCAAATATGCATGTTGATGAAATCTGAAGGACTATATGACAATGAAGACTGGAGAAAAGATGCTAAAATTATGCAAAAAAATTAACCTAGTCTTATAGAACATACGCAAGCAGAAAATATATATTTTTAAACCATTGTATTAATATTTTAGAATACACTAAAAATCTAAAAAAAACACTGCAGCAGTAGACAGCAGCACATTAAATCGTTCAAAAACACTCCATTGGCAGTGTGGTGTACAGTAAGTGGGTCTCACCTGGGCCACGGCCACCTGTGTCTGCTGCTGCTGCTGGGTGAGCTGCTGCTGGAGAAGCTGGAGCTGGTGGTGCACAGACAGCGGTGTGCTGGACGGGAGATCACTGCCTGACGGTAGTAGCAATTTAGGGGATGCCAGCAGGATCACGGGCTCCTCCGAGGGCTGGAGAAACACAAACAACAGCAGGCCTGATCAAGATCTGCAATTCATCTATTTCATATTTTTCAAGGCTCTCACAAGTTGGGGTGCTGGTGGTTTGTTGAATATTATATATAATAAACGGCAGCATGTGGACAACATAAATAAAAGTCTTTCAGACCTCGGGTACAACTACCGTGTTTAAGTGTCAAAATTAAAGTATTCATTTTAAAATGCAATGAGAAAACATTGCATTTTAACCATAAAAAAAATTAATTAACAATAAATTTACATTTAATACTGAAACAAATCGTTTAGAAAGTAATAAAATGTGCACAATTTAAAAAATAAAGAATTCATAAGGCCTGTGTTTTAAGTTTAGCAATCATTAGAACATCTGCAACAAACTCCAACTCAGCCCCCCGTGCTCCAGCCAAAGTTATTAACAACTGCATGTTTCTATTGGGAAACACGCATCACTCTGACCAGCTCTGTGGTCAAACACGTCTCTTCTCTCCCCCCTGCTGAGACTCAGATATTAATTACGATGCCGTTTGCAGTGAGAGGAGCTGTGCAAACAAACAGAGCTCAAGAGGGCTGGGAGGCAGTCGACTGTGACAAATTGTTAGTTTTTACCCTACACTGCCAACTTATTTATACCATGGCCAGCATAGAAAAAAATATGGTAAGGCCAGCTGTCAGATATTGACCTCCCACATACTAAAAGAGGGAACAGAAGCAGCCGGAGATGAGACTGATTTTGGCTGAGATTGATGTACTGCGAAGATCCCTTTGAAATAACCTAGCATCATCTGCTGCTGAATCACTAAACTAAAGGCTAGACGGTCCAAACCTGAGCGAAAAAAATAATCAAACATGAACATCTATGGTTTCAAGTATCTTTTTGTAGGATAAAATGATTTCTTATTTAGGTTCATGTGTAGAGACAATGGCAGAAATTATTTTTTTTATTATTAGCTAAGTTATTTAGAAATACTACAGATCCTAAACGTTTGAATGGTGGCACATCATATTATTACAGATGTAGTAATAGTCTAACAAAAGTATTCCTTATAAAAAAATAAAATAAAATAAAAAACAAACAGACAAATTATAATGACAATGAAAATACATTCTGTGCTGGAATATGCTTTGAAACTGCATCTAGTCTTTAAAGGGTCACGTAACACCGAAGCACAATTTTTTTTAGATGTCGACAGTCATATATATGTCCCATGTTGCTAAAACATTATTAGGACACTATTTTTATAAAAAAAAATACAAAAAACAATTGGTTGTTTTTGCGTTATCTGAGCAAATTCGTTCTTCTGGTTTGAAAAATGTTTTGAAGCTACGTCACAGCAATGAGATTATTGTGTAAATTCCAGCATGGAGATTGGATGTCTGTACCGGCCGGTACAACGCGAGTACAATCTTTGAGTTGTCAGCATTAATTTATAAAAAACTTGGTTTTATTGTGAATGAGGTGCAACTTCATTTATATGCACGATATAGATGTGTATATAAATGACTTAAACTGAAACGAAATGCAGTTTAGGTCTAACCAGCAGTGCCATAGCAGCAAGTACAGGATATACCTGTATCCTGCACTTACTGCTATTGCACTGCTGGCTAGATCTAAACTGCATTTCGTTGCATTGTACTTGTACATGTGTAATGACAATAAAGTTGAATCTAATCTAATCTAAAAAATACTGTAGCTTTGAAGACTGTTTTTACATTTACAGTGTTCAAATGGCAGAGAGACCCCAAGTTATGTTACCAACCGTAAGTCAAACAAGTAGTAGAAGAGTTCGGAGACATGGGTCGTCAGTGTTGTGTTTATAAATATGTGTTTATAAATGTGACGTATGGTTTTGTTTCCAATTTCCTTGCGATGAGAGCACAGCTTGCGTGTCCACAAACGTGTGGATTACAGTGCTCATATAACACATGACGAAAAAATGTTTGCAAGCAACATTTTTTACCCGAGACCCGTCTTCTTTAAAAAAAGACGCAGTTCAGTTCGTGCTGATTGTCCTGTCTCTATGGATTTGGTAAGCGTGTGATCAGTGTTCTTTGTTTATGTTTATTCAGATGGCAGAAGTTAGTTAGTATCGTCAGCAGCACTCTTTCAGTTTTTAAAGACATACCTTAGTCAAAATGATTTAGTTACTAAGTTTACAGTGCGTTATTATCACTACAATATTATGGACAGAAAGATCCGCTGTAAATGCTGCTCCTCGAATGTAAACATCTTAATTAAACTATTACCATTGTGTAGGATTTTTGCCGCGTATGATTCTCACTGTATTTTGTGACAGGTCTATACACAGCTCTTTCACGCTATCCTTTGCACCTACCGAATCTCATCATCTACCGAGAAATGTGGAGGGTTTTTTTCTCCCATTTGGCACGCGATATCAAAAATTCCATTAAAACTACAATCTTCCAGCAGTTCCTCGCATCCAATGTCATGTTTGTCATGGTGGGCATGAATGCATTTCATCATTTATTAAGTGGTTTTGAGAATCTTAATCTCTGAGAATATTTTTTCTGCTTGTTCAAACTACTCACATAAAATAAACTTAAACAATACAATTATTTTGATATTTTTGGCACAACTCAATTGCTTTATGTTCAATCTACTAAAGATTTTATGTTAACTTAATTAACTATCAATTAAATATTAATTAAATAATAATGAATTTATGTTGGGACAACATGAATGAATTGTGTGGGACCCTGCAATTTTACAGTGTGACGTGAGAACTTTTACCCATATAGTATGACACCATATTAATGAATAAGGTCTGTTATTTCTCTTTGAGTGACTCTATTGGCAGAGCGAGTTCATCTTTAAAAAATTCACGATCATATGGCAAAAATGACTCATTTTTTCATATCCATTCAAACGATGCACTCAGCAAAGGGGACTTTTACTTAAGATTGAATTGATGTCAAACCATATTGCATGAACTATATTGGAAAAGATATTCTCCTCGACTTCTCAGTTTTCATTTCTCACTCTTTGGCAGAGCAGTGGTTTGTGTTGGTTGATGAGAATTTTCTTCTGTGTGCGTGTGTGTGTGTGTGTGTGTGTGTGTGTGTGTGCGTGCGTGTGTGTGTGTGTGTGTGTGTATGTGTATGTGTATATTTGCCTACTGACAGCTGTTTATTCGGGCAGTGCTGCAGAGAGACATGTTGTAAACAACACCTGCTCACCCAGTGAATCTACCTCATTCAGAGAGACCGCAGACAGATACTACAGTACATTCAGAGTAGATACAATGATCTTCTGACCAAAAATCAGAATCGGTTGCTTTTTTACAACAAACATGCACTGTAAAAAATGTTTTGTTTTCTGTTTATTTACGGTTGTAAATTGTATTACTAGATGTTGATCTCTGCTCCGTCAACTTTTGATGTTGAAAATTCAACTCTGCGGTTTTAATAATGACTTTTATTGAAATGTTAGTTGTTTGAGACATTGATATTGAGATAATATATAGAGAACTAAGTTTGTAAAAGAAAATGTACTGGCAGCTTATTACCAGGTTTTAGCAGCATAATAACCAACACTAACCCAAACAATATAACACTTCAAACTATTACAAATTTCCATAAAACTCACTTTGTAATCTTTTCAAGGTATAAAGTTATTGAAAAAAAAAAAGATTCCCATAATACAATTCTAATGATTAATAAGAATAAGTGAAAAACAAAAAACCTGAATCACAAAATACGAAAAACTGTCATTTTAAAGATATCTGTGATCGGCAACCAGCAGGCTTTTGCTTTTTCAGTTTTTTCAAACTGAACTGGACTTGCACTCAAACGAAAATGCAATGATTTTACAGTACAAAGTGTGAAAATGGAGTGTTAATAAAAGCCAGAGACACATGATGACACTATTGTAGTATTGTAGGCATCACACAGAAATGTCAGAGTAAAAATAACACAAGATACTGTGCATTAACTTCGATTTAACAAATGTTGATCTTTGTTCATTACATACTTGAACAATTTTGTAATGTTTTTCTTTTTACAATATTTGGACTTGTGACTTGAACGGAACCTGAAGTCTATGAAAAACTTGATTTATTAATAATTGTATTTCATAAATAATATATAATATATGCCAATAAAAATTGTTTGGAATTTCTTAACTTACATTTCATAACTGGAATATTGAACATCTGAAATTTAAGACAACTAAACTTTTAAAGTCAGACTTTTATGTATTTTTATGGCATGTATGTTTGATGGCCTATAATATTTTAGTTTTATTAAATTACAATTGTTAATAACTCAAATGAAGACAATTCAAATTCAGATTGTTTTGGCGCAGTTTAAACTCCATAGTTTTCACACATTGCAATTTGATAATTTTATGATTTTAATTAAAGTGGAAAGGGTTTAAAGTGCAAATAAACACCTTATTTGTTATTCGTGTACTCATATTTTTGCCATTGCAGAGAAATCAAAACGGGCCCTTTTGGTAAAAAACAAACAAACAAAAAAAACAACAAAAGGCTGAAACATCTAGATAGTGTGTCCGGGGAATAAATTATGTGAATTATACTGTTCATGTTACATATATATATATATATATATATATATATATATATATATATATATATATGAAAACATTCACTTCACACCACACAAATCATGGATGAAAACGGAGTGTGACACTATTGAGTGTGTGGACTGAAACATTATGCTTGATTTCTCAATAATTCATTGATGAACAGATTGCACAGCTCAATCAATAAAAAAGGCTTCCAATAATGTTTGAGACATGGCATGGGAAATAAACTATGAACATGTATAGGGCCTCTATATGATTTCTGTAATAAGGTGTAAAGTGTGGATGAAATTGGGAAATTCAGTCATGAAAAAAGAAATTAGATAAAAAACAGAAGCAGTCATGTAATTTGGCATATTACAGATGAATAAATGAAAAGCAGGAATGTGCTCTTAATCACATCAAGAGTTCAAGTGTGTGTGTGTGTCTAAAA